TTTCTCATTCGTGTTGTGATGAATCATCTTGGTATGATTTTGACAAATGATTTTCAACTGAAGCCTGCATATTTTGGGTACTATGTGAGTCTTGTTCTTACTTGTATCTTCTATTATAGCAGGCCTTCTCTGGCACCGCCACTATAAGGTAGGAGGAGCACCGCCTCATTTCTGCCAGGATGGAGTGGAAGTCCAGGTTTTCCACTTGGCCTCCATTGACATCTCAGTGGAAGGTAAGAACTTCTTGTTACTGCTAGACAGGAGTAGGATTTCAGATTTCTCACTATGCCTCTGATGATACCACTGTGGCCAGAGGGGGAGGGGCGTCTCGTTACTGTTCCCCAAATGGTCTCCTCTCCACTGACACTACAGTATGCTAGCCTTATTACCACTGAGTGGTGGTGAAAGTCCTGTATTTCTACCAAGCCTCCTCTGATGCTACTCCAATGCCAAATAGGCTTGGGTGTCCAGGCACTTCAGGTGGTCTCCACTGACACCATTGAGTGTGGAAGATGGTGTCTCATTACCACCAGGTGAGGATGAAAGTCTGGCTCCCCACTTGGCCTTCTTGACAACACTGCATGAAGTGGGGGGAGAGAGGCTCAGGTGCTTGTTACAGCCTGGCAAAGGTAAAAATCTAGCTTCTCCACTCAGTATTTGCTGGAAGGGGTGGGGGTGGGGCTGCATTTTTTTCTGTGCTATTTTGCTGGAGTAGAGAGGTTACTATCTAAAATTTTTCTGTGTTGTAGGGCTGTTCCTTTCCAGGTCCTTTGGCTAGAGAGAGTAGCCTTTTGTTGATACCTTTTTTGACCGCACCCAATCTGGGAGATGAGGCAAAAACAAAATCCAGGTGACTTGTGGCCATGTCATTCCTCAGGTCCTAAGGTCCTTAGCCAGTCTGGTCCACCTTCTTCCTTCCATATTTCAGAGTCCTCTTGTGTTATTTTTATATATAATGTCCAGAGATTTTAGCTGTACTAAGTAGAAGAATAATATATGCATATAAAATATGTCAAATATTTTATATGCATATATGTGTATATATGTACTTTTTTTCTTTGCCAAAATGACAAGAAATTCTTGAAATGAGGATTGGAATTAGGAGTTGAACACAGGTAAAGGATAGAAATGTGTTTTATTCTTTATGGTTTGTATTTATTGCCATGTACACATATTGCTTATATTTTTAAAAAATTACTATGTAAAGCAGTAGGTACTTTTCAGTGCTTGTCCAACATAACACATCTTGAGAAATTGAAACTACTGTCCACTCTTTCCTTCCTAAGACTCTCTCATTTCCAGGGCTCTGTGGCTCCCCTATCTCCTAGCTCTGCTTTCCCAAGCCTGTAGGAACAATGCCAAACATTCCAAACTCTTCAACTAGACAGAGTTTAGTCCTTTTAGGACCTGGCCCCTGTCTGCCTCCAATCACATCTCTGACCACGGCTATTTTTATTTCATGTTCCAACAATACCAAATTACTTGAAGTTTTAGGTCATTGATCAATCCCTCTCAATCTGTTTTGTCATCTCTTCCATTGGCCCTTCAAACACTGGCACTCCCTAGTTTTCAATTCTTGGTCTAACATTTATTCTCTCACACAAGTATTCCTTAGGCCAGAATATTCATTCACATTGTCTTAAACACCATCTCTATGCTGTTGAAGGCCAACTCTACTTCTCTAATCCTGTTTTCTTCTCTGATTTCAGATGTCTCATAGGCTGAACTTCTGCTCTTTTTTTCTTTCAAATCTGCTCCTCCCTCATTCTTACATATCTCAGTAAATCGCAACTTCATCCTTCCAGTTGCTCAGATAAAAAACAAAAACAAAAACCTTGAAGTTACCCATGACTCCTCTCTTCTACATTCCACCTGTGATTTGTCAGCAAATACTGTTGGCTCTGATTTCAAAATACATTTAGAATCTGACCACTTCTTACCATCTCCACTATTACTACCCTCATCCAAGGTACAACCATTTTTTGATTGCATTATTAAAACAGCTTCCTAATTAGTCTCCTTCCTTCTACCCTTATTTCTACACAGCATCCAGAATACTCCTGTTAAACATAAATCAAATTGTGTTATTTCTCTTAAAAACCTCCCTTTTATCTTACTCAGATACAGCAAAGTCAAGTCTTTCCAATGGATTCTAAGGACCTATAGAATCTACTCAGCTTTCTCTATTTTCTTTCTGAATCCATCTTCTTATATTTCTTTTTTGTTTGTTTGTTTAATCCTTTTTAGCTAATGTGGCCTCCTTTTTGTACTTTGAACACGATAGACACACTTCTACTTCAGGGATATAGTGCTTACCATTTTCTCAGCCTAGAATGCTTTTCCCTCAGATAGCTGAATGAAATCACTCCTTTATTTCCTATAGATCTCTGCTCAAAATTTGTCCTTTCAGTGAGGACTTACTGTATTTTAAAATTGCAAAACCACTTTCCAACCCTTCCTATTCCCCTTCTCTGCTTTATTTTTCTTCTTAATGCTCATTACCATCTAACATACTATGTATTTTACTTATTTTGAATATTGTTTTTCTACTTCTTTTAGAATGTAAATTCCATGAGGGCTCTATCTCCAGGACCTAAAATAGTACCTGGCAAATAGTGGGTACTCAATACATACTGGTTGACTGAATATCAATCAATCAATTAATTAATAAATGAAATTTGCGTTTTAGACCAAGAGTCAAGAAATTGCAGCCCATAGGCCTGCTCCCTGTTTTGTTAACAGAGTTTTACTGGAATATTCATTTGTTTACATGTTGTCTATGGCTGCTTTCCCAATACAAAGGTGGAGTTGAATAGTTGTGCAAGATTTCTATGACCTGCACAGCCTAAAACATTTACCATAAATATTTTCTTTGAGTAACGTTTGCTACTCCTTACTTTACTCCAACTAGTTCATAGATGCTGCTTTCTGGATATCCTTCAGGAATCTGAAGTCCAACCTGCAGCAAATCAAGTTTCTTTCCATCTTCTCCCAAACTTTTCCATTCTGTATTTCTTATATTTATGAAGGACAGCCCCATCCATCCAGTCAGCCAAGTCAGAAATACAGAATTCAGACATCTTCCTCTCCCACATTTTCCACTTCCAATCACTAAGTCCTACGCTTTTCCCTCCCTGTTCCTCTTCCCACCACCCTGACTCAGACTACAGTTACTTATTGCTCCGACAATGTCACTAGCCTCTCTCCCTGTAATCTATCCTTCACACCACAGACCAGAGAATGCCTCCTGAATGTAAGTCTATCCATCATACTACTCTACTTTTAAGCAATGCTTTCCCAAGCCTGTAGGAACAGTGCCAAACATTCCAAACTCTTCAACTAGACAGAGTTTAGTCCTTTTAGGACCTGGCCCTTGTCTGCCTCCAATCACATCTCTGACCATGGCTATTTTTATTTCATGTTCCAACAATACCAAATTACTTGAAGCTTTAGGTCTTTGGGCCTTTGTTCATGCTGGGTCATCTCCTTGAAATTTCCTTTCCCTATTTTCCTTAATTTCCACCTTCAGTACTGACATAAATTGTACTTCTCTGCAAGTACCCATCCTTGATAATCCAAAGTGTCCTCTATGCCCAATAATATCACCATTCAAAAATGATTGATGAGGCAGCACTTCCTAGTGATTAAGTACTTCAACTCTGAGCCAGGCTACTTGGATTTAAACCCCAGCTCTGTTACTAGCTAAGTGGCCTTGGACATTTACATAGTACATCACATAGTACAGGTTTATTATCATCTTCCCATTTTAGCTAAAAAAATGACTATCAGAGAAGTTGTTTGATGTAACACAGATAATATAGCAGAGAATGCCAGTTGTGATCCAATATACACTCTCTCATTTTTCTTTTAGAAAAAGAACTAAAGATTTATCTGGGCACAGGAGGGCCCCAAATAAAAACTATACTTCCCTAACTCATCTGCCAGATGTGACCACAGGAGTAAATTCTGAAATGGTATATAAATAGAAGTAATATATGTGACTCTCAGGTCCTGGCCTTAAAGGACAGGGTTGTATCTTTCATTTTCCTTTCTTTCATCCTTCTCAACTGATATGATATAGGAGATAGTTGGTCATGCAGTGAAGCAGCCCTTAGAGATGGCAGAACAACAAGAAAGAAGGAAACTGGGTTCTTGCCCCTGTCAAGCACCATATCAGCACTGGAACACCTCACTGGACTATTCCACAAGCAAGTAATAAATGGCTCTTTTGTGGAAGCCACTGTGTTTGTATGTGGAGTCTTCGAAGCCTAACCTGTATGCCACCAAATATAGCTGGTAAGTGGTAGAGCTTGGGTTTGAACCGTCGATGCCATCTAGACAGTGTCATTAGCCGCCTCCCCCTGCAGAAAAGTTTTTATTGAATTATACCTTGCCAGGATGGTACTGGCTGCTAGAAAGCTTAGAGCCAGATAAAAGGCCATCTGTAGCAAGTGCACAGGACTTGTCAATAATTATTTGTCTAGCCTCATTCTGGGTTCATTTTCTGTCTCTATCCTTATTTTTCCTTTTTCATTTGACCTAATTATAATGGATAGTATAGTCCCTTGTATTTTATATACCATATAAAATATACCACCTTAATTTCTTTTTGAAATAGGATGAGGTTTAAATAAGTATAGCTATTGCTTTCTTTATGGTTTCACTGTACACACACCACTTTTATATCTATCATTTTCATTTGTATATATGGCTATCTTCATACTCTACTATTAACTCTGTACAGGCATGAACAACGGTTTTTTTTCTTCTTCTATACCATCTAGCCTGATGCCTGATAATAAAACAGTTATAGAACTGAACAATATTTGCTAAATGAATGAATTTCACAGTGTCAGAAATGGTATTAAATGCCATTGTGTCATAATGGAATTTCCCTCCATTATCAACTTGAACAAGGGAGGGAGACACGACTCTAAAAGATGGCTAGGGGAAAGTGTCACATGCTTGGAGAAGTGATGGTGAGAACAGGGAATACATACCTTGACGAAGTGCTCAATTAGGATTTCCACCACAATGTTCTGGAATTTGATGTTCATCATGGCAGCGACAGTGTCCTCCTGAGCTCTCATCAGAGTGGGCCCAAAGATCACGCCCATGTTGGAGGGGGTCATAAGATTCTCTTTGCTGTGCTCACATACACTGCCAAAAGAGAAAAAAAAATGATTAACAAGATTTTCTCCAAGACCCCCTTGTAACCAAGACTGTGTTAGATGATATAGGGGGCAAGAGAAACTAAAAAGTAGGAAAAAAGGAGAGTCCAAAATATATATGAGAAGACTACAAAGGAAACAGGTAGCAAAGAATAAAAGATAGTATATTTTTAGGGGCCTAAGTGAGACACAGCTAACTTAGTTACTTAGGAGTTACTTAGTTACTTAGCACTGTAGGAGTTAAGAGAAGGGGGGTAGGCAGCTATAGTTAGAAAGTATTTAGAAAGACAGGAAAGAAGCAAGACAACATTCCAGGCTATAAGTACAGCATGTATAAAGCACATATAAAAAAGAACAAAGCACATAGAGAAGTACCTACCAGTCTCACCAGTCTGACACCAGTTAGGAATGTAGCCCCTCCCCCAACCCTAGTTTGAAAGTAAAAAACTCAAAGAGCTGGAAGAGATCCTTAAAATTAGCCCTTTATCATCACGGTCCTCATTTTATAGATGAAATCACACACACACACACACACACACACCAAAACAAAAACAAAACAAAAAAACAAAGGTCCAAAGAAGGAAAGGGATTTCCTTGAAATCACAGTCAGTCTCATCAGAGTAGAGCCTGTAATCACCAATATTCTGATCCCTAATCACTCTCCTTGCTAAAATTCTCTTTGGGGGCTTTGTAGCACTTATAGGATAGGGCCAACTCTCTTCAAAGTTGCAACTTATAGCCTGTTTCTAATCCCAATGTAAAGGTTGGACTCTGAAGCTGACGTGGGTTTGAATCCTAACGGTACCACTCAATTGTGCAACCGTGTTAGTGACATAAGCTCTCTGGGCTTCAGTTTTCCCACGTGCAAAAATAGTACCCACCTCACAGGGCTGTTACATAGAACTAAATTGCTTTTACATGGTATCCTGGAAATACTGCATTAGAAAGATCTGCTATTATTATTACCTCTCCATCTAAATACTGCTGACCTTTGACACTCTTGATTCACTATACTGCTTAGATTAGCTTTTCTGGCTATACCATATTGTTTCATGCCACTCCTTCTGCTTAGAATGTCTCCTTCCTTCTGGATATAAAGAATGTCTATTTATCCTTTGAGATTCACTTTAGGTGACATCTCCTTCAGGGCTATCACAGCCCACTGTCCTCTTCTTGACTGACACCACTGGCAAGCAAATATGTTACAATTTTCTGCTTCTTATCTGCCTCCGTTACTAGGTGGTAAACAACTTTCAAGTGTGTGTGACTCGTACAAAGCACGTACCAATTAATTATTTTGAATGGAACTAAGTGCCTCTACTGCTCTTTCAAATAGTACTGGAGAAAGCAAATAAAATATGGGCAGCTGTTTGGTTAGTTTGGCTGTGGGGGTGGGGAGGTGAGGCAGTGAGACCACCCACCTCAAACACTAATTTTCAAAACCCTCCTAAGTAAAGGCCCCTGAGAGACTGACCCTATCAACAGGCAGGCTCTTTTTACTAACTGGGTAACTGACAGAGACAGAATCCTTAGACAAATCCTGATGAAGTCTGTTAAGCCCCTGAAAAAGGCTGGGTGCCATTCACATGATAATGAACAGCAACCATTCACAGGCATTTATTATTGCTGGGCTGGTGATGGCTCCCTTTTAACAGTTTAAATATTTCGACAATTAACCCTTATTATTTAATGACAATTTTTTTGAGATGTTAAAACGGAAAAGCAACTCCATACCACCACCAAGTGGCTAAACCACTAGTAGCAAGGCAAGGACACCCGTGAGACAACAGCCTCCAACACCTGTGAATGCTTATCTCCTTCTGTGAACTTTGACAGGAATGGACTTCTGGTGAAGGTGCCAGAGCTCACTTAATACTCCCAACTCCAAAATAGGCAGAGTGTTTTATCTCTGAAACCTAGGTTCACAGAAGGTAAAGCACTTAATCAAGGCCACACAGTTTGTGACTACATGACAAGGATTCAAACCCATATTTGTTGGGCCACAAGTCTAACAGTCATCCTATTGCATCCCACTGCTTGCTTATCTAATTCCTGTTAAGAAATCAAAACCCTTGTGGGGCTTTCTTTAAGCTAAAGCCACCTTCTATTTTTCTAAGGGAGGTTCCTGGTATCCCGTTTAGGACATTCTTTTTCTTCTTGGCCTTCTTATGAGATTTGGAAGGTGACCTATTTTAGGGGGACATTTCTTTGCATTTGACATCTCTCTTTTTATTATACATTATCATTAAGAGGCATAAGTCACACCCCAAATTGTGGGTTATTAAGAGAAATAAAACCAAAAATAAGAGCATCGTGAGTAGTGAATTAGGTAGGAGTTTGTGATATGACTTGATGGCAAACAAATCTTAAATTCTCTAGTCCACGTGGACTCACGACAATGGGTACAACTTCTGGAACATCAAAATTTAAAATAAAAAATGACTATCAGAGGGAGGCTGTAAAAAGCCTCTGGTTTAGAAAAATAATTTTGATTAGATGGTTTAGCTCAGAGGTCATAAACTAAAATGTCTATAAAATAGAACTACCTTATGATCCAGGAATCCCACTTCTGGGTATATATCCTGATGAGAGAAAAACTCTCTCAAGGCCTGATACACAAGGGAAGCCATTTTAGGTTTCTTTTTTAGTTAGCATTACTGTACATAAACGTTGTTTAAATCAAAAGCCTGATTTATGGCTCAACATGCTGTACACCTGCTTTGTGAATGAGTAGCCTCAAGGAAAACCATCATGTCCTTGAGAAATCAGTCAATATTCCCACTCCCTATGATGAGAAGAAAGGCAAAAGAAATGTAGATACAATTAAATTTCCTTACAATTTGCAGCCCATTGAGAAATACGTGAGACATGCAGAGTGTGACATTCCTCAAGGAACTCATGGCTGCCTTAATGTTGATGTTTTGCTAGAGACTAAAAGCAACCTTAGCTTGACAACAGCCAGACCTCCAGGATCCTATAAGTTTTCTTTAACATATGGAAATCCCTTTAGTGACTTCCCTTATCTCTGCCCCCCAACTTGAAAGTATATAGTCAATTTCTCCACACAGTCACAGTGCAGCAATTTTGCCCATGGGTCCTGTTCCATGCTTTAATAAAAACACCTTTTTGCACTGAAAACATGTCAAGAATTCTTTCTTGACCTTTTTTGCTCAGAGACCCCACATCACCTGCATTCCTGAATGATAAAACTCGTGATTCCTGCCTATGTGCTAATCTATATTTTGAGCCTTTACAAGATGTAAAAAAGTATATAATCCTGTAAAAAATGTTCATTTTTCTGGAGCACTTTCTTCCTTGTAAAGACCATGTTTCCTGGGCAGTTGTCCTAACTTGGGCTCAAATAAAACTCTCTTTTTATTTGCAAATGTCTTATCAGAAAATTGGCTAGTATCCAAAATGTATAAAGAACTTTTCAAACTCAACACCCAAAAAACAAAAAATCCAGTCAAGAAATGGGCAGGACAAAAACAGGTATTTCTCCAAAGAAGACACACAACTAGCCAAGACACACATGAAAAAATGCTCAACATCACTCAGTATCAGGGAAATACAAATCAATACAATGAGATACCAAATCACACCAGTCAAAATGCCTAAAATAACAACCCAGGAAACAACAGATGTTGGCAAGGATGCAGAGAAAGGGGAACCCCCTTACACTGTTGGGGGAATATAAACTGGTACAGCCACTCAGGAAAACACTATAGAGGTTCCTCAAAAATTAAAAATAGAGCCACCCTATAACCCAGCAATTGTACTACTAGGTATATATCCAAAGGATACAAACATAGTTATTCAAATGGGCACATGCACCCCAATGTTTATAGCACCAATGTCCACAATAGTCAAAATATGGAAAGAGTCCTAATGTCCATCGACAGATGAATGGTTAAAGAAGTGGTATATATATATACAATGGAATATTACTTAGCCATGAAAAAGAATGAAATGTTGCCATTTGCAGCAATATGGATGGAACTAGAGGGTATTATGCTAAGTGAAATAAGTCAGTCAGAGAAAGACAAATATCAGATGATTTCACTCGTATGTGGAATTTAAGAAACAAAACAGATGAATTATGGGAAGGGAAGGAAAAATAAAATAGGATGAAATAGAGAGGGAGACAAATCATAAGAGACTCTTAAGTACAGGAAACAAATTAAGGGTTGCTGGAGGGGAGGTGGGTGAGGGGGATGGGGTAACTGGATGATCAGCATTAAGGAGGGCAGTTGATGTAATGAGGTGTCTGTGTTATATGACACTGATGAATCACTCAATTCTACCCCTGAAACTAATAATAATACACTATATGTTAATTAAATTGAATTTAAATAAAATATTTTTTTTTAAATTGACAAACCCCTAGATATAACTATGGAAAAGAAACTGAGGTTTAAAAAAAAGAAACTGAAGGGTGCTGGAGGGAAGGTGGGTGGGGGGGTGGGGTAACTAAGTGACAGGCATTAAGGAGGGCACCTGATGTGATGAGCACTGGGTGTTATATGCAACTGATTAATTACTGAACTCTACATCTGAAACTAATGATACAATATATGTTGGCTAATTGAATTTAAATAAAAATTTTAAAGTAAAAGTAAAATAAAAAAAGAAAAGAAAAGGAACCCAAATAAATAAAATCATGAATGACAGAGGAGAGATCACAACCAACACCAAAGAAATACAACTATAAGAGAATATGAAAAAGTATATGCCAACAAATTGGGCTATCTGGAAGAAATGGATAAATTCCTAGAAACATATAAACATATTTCACCAAAACTGAAATAGGAAGTAATAGAAAACTTTAACAGACTGATAACCCACAATGAAATGGAATCAGTAATCAAAAATTTCCCAAGAAATAAAAGTCCAGGGCCAGACAGCTCCCAGGAGAATTCTACCAAACATTTAAACAGTAAATACCTATTCTTCTCACACTGTTCCAAAAAACAGAAATGGAAGGAAAAC